CAACGGCATCTTTCGACTCTTAGAAAATGTTTCTTTGGCTATGCGAAGTGCGACGTCATTGTTAGAAGCATTGTCCACCGATATAGTGAAAACTTTGTGCTCTATTCCCCAATCTTTTGTGCATTTCATAAGCCCATCAAAGATATCAACACCTAAAAAATCATATAATTGAAATAAATATTTTTCACAAAAAAATGAAATGCATCAAATATGTAGATAAAGAATAAATAAGATTTTACCGGTGTGTGGAGGAGGAAGAGGTATGAAGCTAAGGACTCGCTTTTGAAGCCGCCATTGTGAATCAACAAAGTGTCCAGTGACACACATGTATGAAATTTTTTGCACCTTTGATTTCCAAATATCTGTGGTCAATGAGATCTTGTTGACGTTTTTTAGCATCAACTGTAACTTCTTCTTCTCTATATCATAAACACTGATGACATCATTTCTAGCCGTGGCACGAGAAATCTTCTCAAACTGTGGAAGGTTGACTTTGAACATTAAAGAGAACCCATAGTTTTCCACAACGTTAAATGGTTGCTCATGCATTAGAATCCAATGAGCAATGGCTTCTCTTTGCTTCGAATGATCATACTTACCATCTGATAAGGGATTCATCTCAAATTTTGAATTTGCAGGCTGGAATTGCAAGGTCTTTTGTTTTTCATTGCTAAGTTTCTTTTGAAAACACCGGCCTCGATGATTCAAAAGATGGCTAGTGGTACCGGTTCTTGTCACTGCAAGAAGAGCACTGCAATGTTTACACTTCCACTTTGAAATTCCAGCATCTGTTTTAAATGCCTCGAAGTCCAAATGAGCTACTGAATTTTTCTTTCTCTTCTTCTTTCCAAATACTTCTTTGCCCTCATTTTCATCATCCTTTTGATCCCCAATACCACCTTCATCTACATCTACTACTTCTTGGTGAGCATCGCCACCTTCACCTTCTATAGTATCCATTTCATCTTCATTTATGTCAGGATTCAACTCCTGCATAGAAAATTCAAAATTATACTCAATATTTTGACAGTTGTTAAGAAATACAATAATATAGTTTATAACTAACCTCCTCTTCTCCTTCCGATCTTGGTTCAGTTACGTTTGTGAAGTCCATTTATGTAAATGCACGGACGGTATCTCTTTACTTTATCTGTCAACAATATTCACACAATGTCAACAATATTCATACACACAATTTCACACATTGGAAAGAAAAAGACAATCAAATTGTCAAAACAAAATAACAAAAAGCAAACACCACATAAATTAAACAAATATGGTAGTTTTGGGATTTCTGCCAAATGCCTTTTCTTTCATTTAATTATTATTTTTATTATTTGATTTTTTGTAAATTTAAGAAAGTTCAACTAGTTAAGAAAACATTTCACACGCTTCACCTTTCTATCAACCCACTTTTCCCATTTCATTTGATAAAAAGTGGAACAAGAAATCTAATCTGAAAACAAATTAATCAATTCTAATCTGTCCATTTTTCAATCAAACTCTCATCAGCATCTTCACCACACACAATCTACACAACACAACACAGTTATATCCTAATTTTCATCAAAAAGCTAAAGCAGATGAAAAGATTAATCACACCCCTCATGACCAAAAAAAGCACCCAATAATGCCCAAAAAGAAAAGAAAGAAAAAGCAGAAAAAAAAAGATATAAACTAAAAATAAAGCATGCATATGCAGTCAGCACACAGTAGCTAACATATTCCCAAAATATTCAATAATGCCCATAGTCAAGAAATCATCCATTATACCTAAATTCTTAAGATAACGCTTAGTTTCGAGAGGAATACACTTAGATTTGCGACCGAGTCCATAAGATTAAAAGAACCATAACTCAATTTTAACTATTTGCATAAATAAAGACCAAGACGGTGAAACCAAACCCAGACTAACTTAAATCAGCACAAAAAATAAAAAAAGATTTTGGTGGACAATAAGCACATAAGCAAGATTCGCCATTAGCACTGGATTTCGCTTGAATTGTGCAGGTCACACCACCAATAACATGAACTGCTAACACAAATTTCTACTGGGCCATTTATTACAATTACCAGATACAGACGAGGAGCCGGACTGAGGAGCGCCGACGAGGACAGGCGTGCGGCGGTGAACTGAGGAGCGCCGACGAGGACAGGCAGGAGACGGTGAGCTGAGAAGCGCGGACAACTGGACAAGAACCGATGGTCAACTGTGAAAATTGTCTGGGACGGGACGCCGGGCGACGGACTAGTGAAACCGATGACTGATTTGTGATTGCAGCGGCTGTAAACTGTAGTGAAGAATGAAGAGTGAAGTGTGAAGACGGGGGGCTGGGTCTGGGACTGGGAGTATGAAATTATGAATTAGGGTTAGGATAGTGTTTAGACAAAATGTGTATTTGTATTTTATTTTTATGTCATAATAATATAATCCTTATATATATAATAATATATAAATATATAAACAAATTTTATATTATATATAATTTATAAAATTTATATAATTATCCTTAACGAATCGAATATTCGTTAAGGATATCGAATCGAATATACAGAAATTCGAATTCGAATTCGTTTACCTTTCGAATATAAAATATCATTCGAATTCGAATTCGAATTCGAATATTTCGAATTCGAATTCGAATTCGAATCGCGAATATCGAATTCGAATACCGAATCGAATCAAAAAAATTTGATTTGTTTACAACCTTAGTTCTACGAGGCAAGGCCGTCAACTGCGCAAGAGGAGGAGAATCAGTGGCGTCGTCGTCGTCTGGGAATTCGTCGGGAATGGGTGTGGGTGTGTGGATGGGATTGTTTGATGAGTGACTGGAAAATTTAAAAGTTATTATTATTATTATTATTATTATTATTATTATTATTATTATTATTATTATTTGTTCGATTATCTGATCTATGGCTACGATATCTTCTTAAACATTCTCACTTGAAACCATCTCTCTCTATATAACATATGTGATGTTATATTTATAAATATATGGTATTTTTTACACTCAAATCGAATATGAAAAAAATTATGTATTTATAGATAATTTGTAAAAACATTTCAAAATTTAATTATGTATACTCGATTATTTTAAATATGAGTGAACTAGTACATAACCCGTGCGATGCACGGGATGTAAAATTTGAAAGAATAATATAACCTCACGTGCATTAGGATCGAAATTGAAATCATTAAAATACATAGGAACATTGTTGAATCATAAAAAGTTCGGTAACAATCATATATTATTAAAAACCTCCTTGTACACAACATTATGAGTTTGATTATTTGGTAACTCCTCATTATCACAAACTAATATTTTCAAAAGAGACAAATCCTAAAAATCAATCTAATATTTTTGGTGAACAAACTAATATTTTAGGATTACTGAACAAACTAATATTTTAGGATTTCTAGGATTTGTCTCTTTTTGGTGAACAAACTAATATTTTAGGATTGATTATATGAATAAGGCTACCTGTTTTTGGTGTTCTTTTCATTCATTTTCATTCAAACAATCCAATGACTTGTATAATGAAATTCGAATCTTAAGCCGAAATATTAAAAAAAGAGTTTCTAAAAATTGAAAAGTCAAGGCAATCAGTTCAGATTAATTAAAGGTCAAAGAATATTCGCTCCTTGAAATAAAGACGTGTGCTATCATTAACCAAATATTCAGTTATTGATATAGAGTGATTACCAAAAAATAGAACGCGATAAGGACGTTTCATGGAAATATCAATAGGATAAGGTCATAACAGATCGCTATACATTTAAACGATAAAAGCTCAGATGGAATGATTTATGATAATTATGTTGTAATTAATGAATTAATTAGATGTGTGAAAAGGACATAATTAATGAGAAGTGTGAAAAGGACAAAAACTTACCAATTTTGGAAAATATTTAATGCAAATCCGACATTGACCATAATTTGACCTACTATTTTGGATAAATGTTAATTCTTATTATATAAGTATAGATTCCAAATTTATTTTAGTAGCAAACTTAATACGACTATTTTTCACGTAATTGGAATGCTAGAACCTATGTTTGTTTATAAAAAATTTTGGTTTTGTTTGAAGTTTTTTGGTTTGATTTGGTTAATTTTGAAAAATGTGGTATGGTTAGTTGTTAGTGGATATATTAAAATAATATTTATAACACTGTTCTAAAAATCGGCCTAGGCGGTGCCCAGGCGCCTCCAATTTGTACAAATCGGCAAAAAAAATTGGTCAGGCGGCTAGGCGGCGCCTAGGCGGCCCTAGGCGCTCCTAGGCGGCCTTGGCGGGCTCGGCGGCTAGACGGTTAGGCGGCGTCTAGGCGGGCGTAGGCGGACTTAGGCGCTCCTAGGCGGGCTCGGCGGCAATTTTTCAATTTTTTTTTTATTTTTTTTTTTATTTTTTTAAATACTAATTACATTATTTTGTTCTCATGTTTTCTTTAATATATATTAATATTATTATTTGGACTTTGGTGTGTGAATTTATTATATGTTGAGATAATCTTATTTTGTAGGTAGTTAAAATAAATAAAAAATAAGGTATTTACTATTGATTTCTGGCCTCGACTAGGCGCCGCCTAGGCCCCGACTAGGCGCTCTAGGCGCTAGGCATTGGTCGAGCGCCTAGCGGGCGCCTAGCGACTTTTAGAACACTGATTTATAATAAAATAATTAAAATTAATTTGATGTAAAAGTAGGAGAGAGAGATTTGAAGTGATGGTTAGTTAAAATAATGTGAGTGGATGAATAGTCCATTAAGGTTGATGTAGTGTATATGAATGATTGATTGATATTATTTAATTATATTGATAATTTTGATGATGATGGGGTTGAGTTAAAGTTGAGTTAAAAAAAGTAGTTGANCGTGTATATTAACACTCATAAAATATTAACGGTGTATTCAATGGAAAATGCTACTGTGTCGGACTGAAGTAACCCGTTTTGCAGCTTATATCTTCATTTTAAATAGGATCATTTAAGCCCAAAACACAAGCATCCGAGCCGATCAATATTGGGCCGAGCAACACATTCAGGGCTTAATTATCAAAGCCCCTATTGAGAACCGAAAACCCTAACCCACATTCACACTCCTTTGGCAGCACATAAAACCCTAGCGCCTCCTCACTCTCCATTTCCATCCGAGGGAAAGGGAGTAGAGAGAGAGATCCGCAAAAATGTCGAAACGAGGTAAATCTCGCAGCTCACAAAACTCACGCACTGTATATTATCAAATCAAGTTTTCGTAATTTGTAGCATTCTAATGTTGATTCTGTGTGCGATCAGGACGCGGAGGTTCCGCAGGGAACAAGTTCAGGATGTCGTTGGGTCTGCCGGTGGCGGCGACGGTGAACTGCGCCGACAATACCGGCGCGAAGAACCTCTACATCATTTCGGTGAAGGGGATCAAGGGTCGTCTCAACAGGCTCCCATCTGCTTGCGTCGGTGACATGGTGATGGCCACCGTGAAGAAGGGGAAGCCCGATCTCCGTAAGAAGGTGATGCCCGCCGTCATTGTCCGCCAGCGCAAGCCGTGGCGCCGAAAGGATGGAGTCTACATGTACTTCGAAGGTAGTATCGTCTGAGCTCTGAGATTTTTTATTTTATTTTATTTGTAAATATGAGCGTTTTGGTAGTGGTATTATTGTTACTTTCTGTATTATTGTTAATGTGTTGCTACTTGCCTATATTATTCAGTAAATCTATGATCAGTCCTCCTTGGTATGTTACAATAATACAGGTCTCTTTAAGAAGTTTTCTATGGTTTTGGAGTATTATATATAGAATCCTTCAATAGGGCTATTGTGTTGTGTTCTTGTTTCATATTGTGTTATTTGTTTTATTTTATCATAGGTCCTGTCGTCTTTCATGTTGGGTTGTGCAATGTCATTTGGCTCTGTAACTGTATTTTTTAATTTTGTTGTGTTTGTGTTTCTTGTCGTGCCAAGTCATTGCCACCCCTACCTTTCAGTAGCAGTGTTACTGTTACCAATGTAGATGTTGCCACTAGGTAGTCCTTTTTTTGCGAGGGTGGTGTATAAAACAATTTGATGGTCCAATATTGATTTTCTCATGGCTTTAGCATTTGCATTTATTTCAGATTTCGTAAAGGTTGTGGTAAATCTAAACAAGAGTTTAAATGTTAAGGTTTGTTGTCAAGGTAGAAGAATACCAAAGTAGATTTTAATTGTTTGTCTATATATCTTTTTTTTTATATATATATCTCTTGAAGTCAATGCATAATCAATGTGGGGGCAAATGTACGAGTGTTATTTAGCTGAAAACATGTTTTGTATTTATTCGACTTTGCTGAAAAGAAAATGTAATTAAATTTTTACTTTATTTTATTTTATAAAAACTGTGTACTCTATCAAGACTGTGATTGACATGTAGTCTATAAAGTGAAACTTCTTGTATTAGGATGATTCTTCATCTATCTTCTTTGTACCGTCACTTTTTATCTTGCAGTTTTATATGAGTCATAATGCGTGCATCATTTTTTTTTTAAATGGTCCAGCAGAGGGTTTTTTCCTAATATTTCCAGTCTAATGAAAATGTCTTTTATTAAAAATGCAGACAATGCTGGGGTCATAGTGAATCCTAAAGGTGAAATGAAAGGTAATCTAATTAAGATCCTCTTGTATTGCACTCTATTGATCACTTTTTGCTGTTCATTTGTTTGTATTCTTTTTTTTTTTTATTTGTGATGTTTATTTGAAGGTTCTGCTATCACGGGTCCTATTGGAAAGGAGTGTGCTGATCTGTGGCCTAGGATTGCTAGTGCCGCCAATGCCATTGTCTGAAGATTGAATCCGTTAGTTTCTTTACATTTGTGCTTGGTTGCATGATCAATGTTCGTTCTTGTTAAAGCTGATACTGCCAGTTGGTATTTTGTTAGAACTAAGGATTTTTGCTGTTTGAATTGTGTTACTCAAGTATACTTTCATGTTTGGATGTTTATTTCTATATTTATGCGGCGTATGTGAGAGCTGTTTAATTTTCCTTTTTGAATTGAATTTATGGAAAAAAGTGTTTGATCTGAGGTTGATCAAAACCCTCCATTTTTCTCAACTTGTGACCTGCCCCTCCACTTTTGAATCCAAATTTAGAAATTGAATATGATGTGAAAGTTTGAAACACCAATTTCTCTATATTTAGAATTTGAATATGGTGTGAACAATCAATTTCTCTCCATTTAGAACTTTAATTTGATGAAAATTGGATTTGTATATGCACATGAACCTCCAGATTCTCTTTAGTTTGAGTAGTGGATGGTGTCAAATTAAAGTTTAGGAGCAATGATTTATGATTTTACAAATATTTTGAAATATTTAACCATATCATTACAAAAGTTGCCCATCAAATCACTATTGAGCTAGTGTACATCCTTCATATCACAACCAAGTGGTTCAAAGTGATACTCATTCTGATTATATTGACCGTAAAATTTAATAAACAAGTTATTCATATCACACGATTTTTAACTGATTGAAAAATATATAAATACTAATTTGGAGGGAAAGTTATTCTCTCCTACAATAGTTGATAAGATGAACTCCTTTTAACAATCTTTCGAGGAGTTCTGTGTGATTGTTTTTAAACATATATGGCAATGACGATGTTTTGAAACGGTGGGCATAATTTTATCATTTGCTTTATATATTTAACAAGTTAAAGAGGGGGGCTCAATTTTATAATTTTAATAGTAATGTTTAAAAATGTAAAGATTTTTCTTTGAAAATAAAAATTACCTACCAAATAATGTAATATTTTTTCTTGAAGTGCAACATTTATATATAACTACCCACTAGTTTGTTTCCGGCTGTGCACAGCACAGCCGGGGCCCAATTCCGATATTAAAATTGCTTTGATTAAGAAGTACATTAATATGATATAAGTCATAATTGTTTGTATTACTATTAGTTTACTCCGATTTTAAAATTGCTTTGATTAAGAAGTACATTAATATGATATAAGTCATAATTGTTTGTATTACTATTAGTGTACGTGATGAGAAAATTTCTGAAACTGCCAATTTAATGAAATTGAAAGGATTTTAGAATACGAAGTAATATAAAAAATTTATCCAATCGACAAATGAATGTGATTTTGAAAAGAGTATAAGAATTCTCGAAAAAATTTGAGATAGAGTATATGTACAAGTTTGTTTTCTCATCCATGATAGTGAAGAAACTAAGGTATTTCAGTGAATTAGCACACCGCATATTTTGTACTACTAACATAAATTTCACATTGTAACGCAGCGCAAAGAAAACCAATAATACCAAAAAAAATTATGTTAGAAAAGAACAATTTGAATCCTCAAAGTGAAGAAAAAGAATCAAATTTTAAAAGAGGTTGATGAGCTCATATAACATACGTGGAAATACATTGTCGTGTTGAAAATAATATAGCGAACCTATAATATTATAAATTTAGATTGAGATATTGGAAAAATATTTATGTTGAGATAATAGATTTGCATTCCTGGTTAAAATAGAGTTTATAATTTCCAAGCATTAAATCACAAATTTTTAGCCATTATTGTATACGTACTTTATTTCAAAACTAATTCTTAATCTTGAATTTTTTTAATTTGATTACTTTATTATTTATAAATAGCGAATAGCTCACACTTCATTTTAATTTCACCCAAAATTATTTGCACTTAGTAAAGTGAATCATATTTAACCATACTAAATTAACAGTAAAAAATCTCTAAAAAGCAAACAAAATAAACAAAAGTGAATCGGCCTATTGATCATTCAATTTTAAAACAATGAAGTGTGCAAAGTATATTCCTCTTTAATTGCTCACTCGTGTTTGTTTTCGACTATGCGCATCAATGTCGGGCCTAATTTAGATAATTTTAATTAATAAATATATGACTTATCTATTTGTAATAAAAATTTTGACCGTATGCTATTTTTCTATTTATATATGACTATTGTTGTGTTATATAGTGATTTTTTTAATCTGATAATGCAGTAATTATATTAATCCAAGTCAAGTCATATGTTAAGTTGAATTATATTTATTCTAGGACAATGTTTTGGGTAAAGTACGGTCATCCAAGTAAGCATTTATCTCAAGCAATTTCATGAACTACTTTATCATGTGGGGTTTTCTTTGTAAATTCATATTATACTTACACGTAAATATGAATGTTATACGATGGATCTTATGCCGCTATGATAATTAGGTTTATAAAAATGGGTCAGGACTTGGGGCTAAGTTCGTTTGACTAAGATTATGCAATTTTTTATTTTTATTTTTTTTCTATACAGTTTTTTTTTTTTATCATCTATACAGAATTTTTTCGTGCCATTGGAAAAGAGTGAAAAAGGGTAAGTATTGCTCACACTCTTCCAAAAATCTTAGTGACCAATCAAGAAATATCCGTACCAGCTTAAAATTGATAAGATCAATAGACTTGAGGATATCAAGTGTGTTGACGAAAAGTGATTACTATTTCTCATATAATCTCTCAATTCAAAATTGATTCCACTATCATAGACTTGAGGATAATACAATTCAAAATAAGAAACGAAAAGTGCTAACCGAACATAAACATATATATATATAACTACCTACCCTGTATATTGGCTTGAATTTATCCGCACTCTCCACCGAGTCATAGATCAACCCAAACCTCTGAAAATATAACTTTGATAAGCAATGTCATGAACATTTGAATGCACTTGTAATATGTGAATTATGTTCAAATAAAACAAATGGAGTTAACTACCAAAAGAATGACTATTAAAAGCTTATTAAATAAAACATCACACAACATTTCAATCAATATCAGACATTTACTAAATATAGCTAATTATTGCAATCTAACATTTACTAAATATATATACAAATGTCATATAGAACTACATTCTATAAATTATTATAGGAAGATTGTCACTCCACGAGCTCAATAAATGCAAAATTCATTAACAAATATATGAAGCTCACACTCCCAAGTCCCAGTGAAGATTTTACTTTTCTTTACCTCACTCTTCAGGTGGAGCCATGTATGCAGCTAAACAAATCCTCCATTGCCATTGCCGATAATAAACAGCCAGAGACCGTATATGTAGATATGTAAGGGTCTAAAAAGTACTTCACTGATATAAACTTCATGCAAGAAACTTAGCAACTTCAATATACACCTGTCTAATTGATCGCATATGTTATATATATATAAACTTCAATTATGGAGGATACTGAAGAAGAATTTTTATTTTTTTTTAAAAAAAAAGAAACTTACACAAACAAAGAAATGCTACAAAGTACAAACCTTTGTTGTAGCTTTTAGTGATTGAAAAACTTCATTTAAGGTCAGTACCAAAAAACTCTAGATGATGTTATAAATTGAAAACTCATTCACTGGAAGAGAAAAGTCTAATTTTCTAGATCTATACCTATAATAAAAATATCTAATAGCTTTTGAAAGATGATCCATCGTTCATATAAATAAAATGCAGAACACATTTGCACACTGATGGATAAAGTTCAAACCTATAAAAATAAATGAAAGAACCCAAATGCATAATGAATGGTCAATCCTATATAATCAAAAATACTATTCTAATTTCAAGCAAAACATATAACAATCAAACATAAAACCCAACCATTACATTGCTTGCTCCATCTTGGGGCCAATTTGCAGCGGTGGTCGTGTGAAATCACTGTTCCTTTTGCAAAAAATGGGAACAATAAAAATCATAAGAAATCTGTCCATGAAACATACACGGAGGCATCTCCAATCCATTTAATAAGCACTAATATCAAAGCGAAAAGCTAACCACAAAATAAAATTCCTTATAAATATAGTCGAACTCAACTTTATTTCATACAAAGCAATGAACACCTTAGAACTAAGTAAAAATAGAAAGAGTGACCAGCAAAAAAGACAAATATTGTATAATAATGCAAAAAAGAGTTACCAGAAAACTAAATTTAAGAACATAAAACCAAAATATGGAACACAAAATGTAAATGAGCACATAGTAGCACCTAAATGAGTTTACATGAAGCATTGGAAAACTGAAGACATCACCACCAACAACAAAACTATATTTTTTATTAGCATGCAAACCCCATAACAATGATCACCAAACCATCAGCCAAATAAAACAAACAAGTCGGATACCAGGTTGAAAAAGCACACACATCAACAGACACAAAATTATTTTTAAGTGTAGGTGCAGTTGAAAACCCAAACAACAATTGAACCAACACCAAATCAAAGAGTGCANTCTTCGTAAAGATGGTCTTCACAATCAAGAATCTATTGATTATGCTCACCATCAGATATAATGACTCGTGCACGAGCTCGATTTTGTAGTGCACCTATATATGTAAGCATGTAATATTATCAGGACACTAAAGCATTAAAAAAGTGAAAAAGGAAAATGCTTGATTTCAGTTTTAGGAATTTCAACAGAACTTTAAGATTTTTTTTTTTTTCTTTTTTACCTCAATCAGCCGGTCAATAAGGATCCCCCCTCATTAACTCATTTATGTCAGATTGATGTGCCATGTAGTTTGGTGGCACACAGCTTCTCCTCTGCAATTTGACAAGCATACGCATGAGCACACACAGAGACAGGTTCAGTTATTAAGGAAAAAAATGAGTTCCTTCCACTTAGGAGCTGGAGATGGTTTTTTTATTTAGTGTTTTGTACACACTCAAATAGTAACATAATTGGTATCATCAGCAAATGAGATTTAATCACTCAAACTTCAGAGGCAAAATGGAGAGATGATTCTAACCTTAGTCTTTATGTAGTATTCATGTATATCATCAATGTACCAAGTAACTGCGAGCGAGTTCATCTTATAGACACCATCTCATATCAAACACAGTTCATCTTCATCAATGTCCTCCATTTCAACTTTCACATCCTATGAATCAAATATAACAACATAAAGAAAGTGCATATTTATGAAACGGCCCAAGATACCAAATTTAACATATAAACTTAATACCATGCTATCACTTTCCTCCTGTAACGTAAAGGGCTAAAGACATGAATTCTGGGTGTTATCAGAGCACACCAGACCCTCTTGTAACCACTGCTTGGATTTAATCCAGGCAAGTCTGAATGCAGCAAAACCATAAAATCATCTATTAATTCCATAATCTA